AAGATTTTTTTTTATAACGGTGGGTAACCCGTCGTATGGGCAGGACCCGCATCGCCTCATAGCTTTTAAGCCGGACGGTAACGATATCGCGGACAGTAAACCTTCGGTCCTAAACAATAGTCGGTAAACTATACAAAATAGATAAACCACCCGAAACTGACCGATTAAGAAAAGTTATCATACCCGAGTTTCGAACCCACAACTTATTATAGAGAGAACTTGTCATCAATCAGAGAGTTGAGGTAATTCCCAATTGTCGAAGATTTTTGAGGAAATGTAGAAGTTAAATTTTTTTGGAATGCGTCTCTTTTTCGATTTGTGATTGTTGAATTTGGAATTTAGCTTTTCAAATTTGGAATGCGTCTCACTACGTTGATACGTATGTACCAAATATTAAATTTATAACTTTATTCATATTTTACTATAAGAACACGGATCATCGGATTATGAGGCTGAACATATACGGAGCGGTTGAGTAAGACTATCGAAACTAGACGAGGGAACAAACAATTATATGATGGTGAAATATATGTACTCGAGACCCGTTATGGAGTAGATGCAAGATCTATTATATTCAATTTGTATTTGAATATCGAATTTAATATTTCACAAAAAAAAAAAAACAGAATTTTTTGGCCATTTTTCTTAAACTTTTTAAATTAGGGTTTTTTTTGTAAACTCAGAAATGTATGTTTTTATTTTTTAAACGAAGACATTTTGATCTTATAAATGAACGTTTTAATTTTTAGGTATTTCCGTTGTGTTTCCATTTTTTATATTGTTTAGATGTAACTCTTAAAGTCATGAGGACGTTCGTATTTGTAATATCATGTCCACTCACCTTCTATGTACTAGAGAGAATGGCAGGCAAGGAGCAAGGTCGAATGACTACATGCCACGTGCCACCTAATCCGCATTTACAGCTGTACCCTCCCGCTTCTGATCAGTTAATTAATAAAGAATGGCTAATTATTCGGGAATTTTACTCGAATAAGTCGCACCTATTTTAGCACCGAATTTTTTTTTTTCGATTTTAACCCACTTTTCGGTTGAAAAAGTCCGAAATACCGTTTTCTTTTTATTTTTTGCGACTTTATTATGACTAACATATAACTGATATACCACTAAAATTAATTATGAAATCGTAATAACGAAGTTGTTTTCGAACGGATAAAAATCGTATATTCATTAAGGGTAATTTCGTTTTTTCAAAAAAAATGTTATGTTTTTTTTGGGGTAAACATGTGAAATAGGTGCGACCCAGGTGAGTCATACTAAAATTCCCTAGTTATTCGGCCCTCTAAACAAAACCTAATTAATTAATCGCTGTCAAAATTTATAAGTTTAATTCTTAATTATGGCTGGCCCATAGCCTGTATCGCTCCCTCTCTCGAGCTTCTGCTTGCAACACGTCTCAATGGTGTCGGTCCTTTCTCTCTCCTCTGTCACCACTCTTTCATCACTATCACCATCATCATCATCATCTCCTTCATCTTCACGGAGACAATGTCTGAGCCAAAGAGCTTCTGCCTGGATCCGAGCTTCATCATCGCTGTGTTCTTCTTCATCGGTCACTTTGTCTTCTAGTTTCAGCTCGGCTTCTACTTCTTCTTCTTCGATTTCTTCGTCTTCGGGTTCGAATTCGATTCCGCAGGTGGTGGTGACCCGGGAACGGGGCAAGAACGGGAAACTCGTCCGAGCTCTGGTTTGCGTTGGAATTCAAATTTGCCTTCGTATTTTAATTAGTTCCTGAAACGCATTGTCATTTTTACGGATGTTATGGAGTTTCTGGTCTGATTCTGTGTTGATCGTTGTTCTTTTTATGGACGTTGATTAACGAATGCATTTGTTGTATGTAGTGCTTCGATTGAATGCCACTGTGGTAAACATTCCAAACAAATTTTGCGTCCCGGGTTATGGAATGCCCTAGTATTTCAAGATCTCATCCTAATTCGATGTATTACTGTGCTTTTTGTGTTGCACGAGTAAGCTGTTTTTCATTTCTTAGGGACAAAAAAATTGAAATTTCCATTTTTATTTGGAAAGTCTGTTTTACGTATCTGTTGGGATCTCGCAAAGTATTGATTTTGTGGTTTGTTTTTGGAGGATCCATAGAGAAAAACATTCCAACTATTTGGTGCATCGTTGCTCAGATTACTTAACTAATGGAATCTCTTTTGGATAAAGCAGGAGAAACATGGCATATCTTGTTTAGAGCTTCCCCTAATTCAACATGCACAGGGGCCTGATTTCCAACAGCTTGCTTCTGTATTAAGGGGTGAGATTTTCCGTGAAGATGATTTGGTTGAAAAACTCCTTTTGTTTTATCAGTTTTCATAACTGGACTCTGGAGGCCTTTGGAAGTCCTAACGCGTTCTAGCTCGGAGACAATGTCGTTTATGTCTTACACACTGGCATTTTCAAAAGACCTTCTGCTTTATGCAATGGTGGTGCCTTTCATGTTTGATGTTTTCATTACTTGTTGCTATTCAATATCAAGATTGTTATTTTGCTGCCCAAAATGCTATGGAATCTAGAGGCAGCGCCCGTTTTCAGGATTCTGACTTACGCTCCTTGTGTTTCATTATATTATTCCAGATAACACATTTGATTGGATCATCATAACATCTCCAGAAGCAGGTTCTGTCTTCCTAGATGCATGGAAGTAGGTACCTGTTCTCGTTAGTTTCATGACTCCCTGTATATTGGTTAACTACTTAACATACAGTTACCTGAAAGTATTGCTACCGATGTATTTTTGTCCAATTTTTGTGGTTTCTCGACTGCTACTCTTAACAAAATTTTCCAAAATGTTTAATATGCTTTTAGATATGTGCTTTGGATGTGTTGTGGCTTAATCCACTCTGGATTCTGATTTTTTGCATTTATTTTCATAGAGGCTATCCTCTTTCTATTGATATAATCACATCTGGGCAAGCTTCAGGAGCATCCTACTGACATAAACTCTGTAATAATGATCTTCATATAAGGATTTATGTATGGATTATATTCTGCGTTAAATGTTGGACAACTTCTCATTATCCTTTCAATTTGACCTAAGCTCCATTGTCTCCCTCTGTTAGGGCAGCTGGCACCCCAAGAGTGAAAATAGCTGTTGTGGGCTCTGGGACAGCCAGCATATTTAAAGAGGCAATGCAGTCATCTGAAGGATTACTTGGCGTTGCCTTTACACCGTCAAAAGGTATCGGTAATCTCTATATCTGCAATATTTGCAAGTTCTGTCGGTTAATAGTGAATGAGTGTCAAATGGTGATGTGTTTTTGCTTTTTTTCTAAATTTCTCACTGTTACAATTTTAACGGATTCTAGCAACTATAGAACATCAAAAACTGACTTCTGGGATTTTTAGCTGTGAATCTAGTGGTGATGTTAGATGATCAATCTTCATACTCTAGCGGCATCAACTTCAGTTATTCCCTGTCTTCTCTCATCTACGTTTAAGCTTCTTGATGTGTTTATCTGTCAAGCTGGTAATCGATAAATAGGTCAATGAAGTTATCTTTATTCATATTCAATAATTTTATTCTTGGCTGGTTTTGTAAGTCTGAATGAAGCATGCTTCTGTCGTGTCAGCCAGAGGCTGTTGGCTCATTCTTGTTCGTTTTCCTTCTTTCAGCTACAGGTAAAGTTTTGGCTTCAGAGCTTCCAATGGATGTTGGAAAAAGGTCTTCTGTCTTATACCCGGCTTCCCTGAAAGCAAGCAATGATATTGGTGAGTTTCATAGGTTTCTAGATTTAATTGTCCTTATTTGGAAACAACCCTACGAGTAATGAGCTGTGTTGACTGGATCTATTGGTATTATTGGAGTATATTTCCATGTCTTTCTACTATTCCATGGTGCTATCCCAAATGCTAAGCGGCAGGCTTGCAGTCAGAAGTTTTTTAAGAGAGCCATATATCATGTTGTGCTATCCCAACTATGGGGTTCGGATAAGTCTTTCGGATAAAAACAACTGTCAAGGTTTATGCTGTAGGCAAACATTCAATCTGAGAATATGCAATCGTGAAAATAGTTTTCTAAATATTTTTTCAGATACCAACTTTGCATATCATTACTTATGATTCTGTCCTGCTTCCTTTTCATCCATATTTATTGCAGAGGAAGGCTTGGCTGCCCGTGGATTTGAAGTTCTGAGGCTAAACACATATACCACGGTAAGTAGTCTTTACACTTGGTACATGCACCAGTTGTTCTATGTGTTTCTTTTGATTTCCTCCATCAGTAGTACATTCTATATACAGCTTCGCAGTCCTTGATATTTACTTGTGGAAGTATGATACCCCTGAACATCCTTTAATTATGTCTTAGGTTCCTGTGCACACTGTTGATGAGGCACTCTTGCAGCAGGCTCTCTCTGTTCCTGTTGTTTCTGCTGCTTCACCTTCCGCAATTCGGTATACGTGGTTAAATTTCTCTTCGTGTGCAGTTCGTATTTCAAATTTCGGTCCCTCATAAAACAAATGTTTAGCGCACACGGAATCCTCCAAATTTCTTTGTCCCCTTTCATTAGTCAAACAACTTATTAGTGTTAAGTACTGTAATCCATTATCTGTAAAGAATTGTAACTGCGGCCTGTTGGGTGTGTATGGTGGAATGGCTGTTTTCATGAACTTACACAGTTTCTATCTGTTCAACAGCGTCTGGATTGATCTTATTCCAGACTTGGAGCAGTGGAGCAATTCAATTGCCTGTATAGGGGAGACTACTGCCTCAGCCGCAAGACGGTTAGGATTGCAGAAAATCTACTATCCAACACAACCGGGACTTGAAGGGTAAGTCTGTATTTCGTCATATGGCGTTCCCAACCCTAAAGCAATACAAATAGGTTCAGAATTCATTCGTCTTAATAGTCTTTAAACTGGTTTGTGTCTGGCAGGTGGGTGGACTGCATCCTTGAGGCTCTAAATGCTCACAACCAATTACTCTGATTCAAGTTAAAATCCCAGTGAAGTCTGCATTGTGGCATTAACCAAATTATTGTATATGAATATTAAATGACTTACCGTTTAACAAAAAACATATAATTTTTGTCTATGAATGTATTGTATTTTTATATAGTTCGATGACATGTAGGATCATATGCATAAAAATCGATTTTTTGAGATATTGATTAGATAACTCATAAGTGATAGAGTGTAGATTTTTTATGCCTTATTAAGTCAAGTTAGTTAGTCTAAGTACTGAATGAATTGTCAAATCTATTCGAAATGATAGTTTTGATGAGTCAACATGATATAAAAATGGTTGTGATGATATTAAATCATAGAAGAGGACTGGATTCTTATTTATATATATATATATATATATATATATATATATATTTAATGTGAGTGCGTATTTATCAAAAATCAGAATTAAGAGTATGTTATAACCATATCATTGTTGCATGTAAACAACAAGGAATTCTCATCACAAATGGTCAAAATAGAACAACACTACTAGAATTATCAATCAACCTACATCAGTCATGTTTTGCCGCATAAGGTAATACCAATTCTTCAATAATGAGCAAGTGCTTCCAATTATGCTGCAACCAGATAAAGAGCATGATGTTTCGTACCGCCTTATCGAGTTTCCATCGAATCATCTCGGCGGAATTGGATTCATTCATCTCGGCAGAATGTATATGGTCGCCGGAAGGAGGATTTTGGCGATGGTCGGTTGGTCACTTGCTGTGATGTGTGAGTTATCGTTGATCCAAACAATACACACATTCAGCCCCGCCAGTGGAACACGCCAACATCGTTCGGCAAATGATGTCCAAAGCAGTGTTGTAAGGGCAATGAAAGAAAAGGTGGTCGTATGTTTCTTGAGCATTCCCGCAAAGGCAGCAGGTTAGGTCAACATTCATTCTCCATTGTATGAGCCTATCTCACGTCGGTAGTGTGCGTTGTAGAATCTGACACAACAGAAAAGAGTATCGTGGAACAACTTGTCTAAACCAAACCACCGAATACCATGACACATGCTCCCTCGGTGTCCGCAGCCGCCACCATGACTTATTGCTTGAGAAAGTCGACTTGTAATCATTGATGCCTCGCTTCCACAATGGATTGTCCGCACCTTTGCGATTCGTTGGTATCTCACTACATGCCAGCTGCAAATGAATATTATGAATTGCATCCATCCGAGCACCCGAAATCCGCCAAGAAGACCCTATCACAACATCACGAACTGTAGCTTGTCTATGTACAAGTATCAGCCTCGGTCCAAACTCCCCGACAACGCTTATATACGGGCCTAGAGTTGACCAGTCATCCAACCAAAAGTGAATGGATTTCCCATCATTCACCTCCATTTTAATTAGGGGTGTCAAAACGAGCCCGGCTCACCAGCTGGCTCATGGCTCGCCAGAAAACGAGCGATTTGAGCCGTGATTTTTTCAACTCATTAAAAAACGAGTCTAACGAGCCAGACTCATTGAACACGTGTTCAATGAGTCTGGCTCGGCGAGCTGGCGAGCTAGTCAACGAGCTGACTTTTTTTTAAATAAATTAAATATATATAAAAAAACTCTAATATAATTTTATATTCTTTTTTTATTTATATTATTCATATGATATTATAAATATCCTAATTATTATGATGGTGATAATTGAAAATATTAAATGATATTGGAGTTTTATTAATTTTTTTATGTATTTATTTAAATTTATAATTAAATTTAGAATAAATATAAATAAAAAATATTATATATCTCTGGCTCAACGAGTCGGGTCGTTCAGATCAGAAAACTAGCGAGTGATTTGAGCCGAGGTTTTTTTGGCTCGTTAGAAAACGAACCTAACGAGTTAAGCCCAAAACGATTCGAGCCAAATGAGTCAAGTCTCAAATGATCCGATCCGACTCGTTTGACACCCCTAATTTTAATGAGTTTATGTGCCTCATCTCTTATGCTTAGGAACGGTTCTCGTATTTACAACAAAGGTCCATTCATTTTATAAAAATAATGGAATTCAATATAATCTACCCTTAGAAAAATATAGATTACAAAGATTTAAAAAAACACAATTCGTAAAGCATTTTTCATTATTGTCTTGTTTTCACAAATTTCATGTTTTTAATTGGACACTAACAAACGAAATTAAAATAAAATGTATAAATATGTGATAAAAATCTTAGACAATGAAAAGGGCATGTGCTCCTGTGATATAAACATGCCACCGCCCCGTTTCGTATATATGTGTGTTTCTATATATGATATTAATGACTCCACCCTCGTGCATGTATGTGTCTTTTTGTTAAAATGGAAATTTTGAAAAATATATATATATATTATTTTTGTGTTTGTATCGTCGATACATGTGACTATTAATAGGGCGTGATATTTTCTTTATTATAATAGAAATTTCTAACAGTTTTATATATTTTGTGTGGAATTTTGGTGAAACTTAAAAGGAGTTATACACTGATAGATTAGGTAATATATCTCTAATTTTATCAAGTAATCCAAACTATTTTAAGGCTCAATCAAGACAAGTTTGGAAGTAAATGTCGCAATATGAGAAGTTGAGAACCTTTATTTCTTTAATGTTTTGGGTTAACAAACAACAAAATAAAATCGATTAAATAAAATAAAATTCTGAATAATTCGAATTTTCAAGGGTCATGATTTTCTATGCTTAGCTAAATCGGTAATTTTGATCACACAAATAGTCGAACAAAGGCCCGCTCTATTTATTGGGCATATTATTAAATAAATAATACGGACCACCACCTAACATAATGTCCCACGTGTGTAACAATAATAATATGCGTGAAGGGACCAACCTTCACACTGTCAAAATGTCCGACTTCGTGGAAAATTAAAGGAAGTTTGGTTACAGTTAATAGCGAAATCTTAAATTTAATAATATCAGATTTCAGACACATGAGGATGGAATGGCATTGAATGGCGGCGATTTTATTCATTTGTTATTTTTTTATATCACCAAACTGTACTTTTATTTTATCTATTTTACATTTTAACCCCTGTTCATTGTATTTGGTTGATAGTACCTCTATTTAAATAAATATTAATTCTAGATACCCATATTTATAATTTGATGTCTACTTGTACACAAAAATCAACTTATATATTCCCATTTCTTTCACGTTATAAACAATCATATCCAATTGCTCATGATTATAAATAGAGGTTATAATCAATTAAACAAAATCTAAATTTTGTTAATACATGAATATTTTATACTCGATAATATATACCAGATGACGGGTTGATAGATAAACCAACAATAATTATGATATATCTCGATATTTTGTAACAATGAAAATTGACGATTTTCCAAAAACAAACTAGCCAAATTGCTACAAAATTAATAACAGGTTATTGGTATAAGGTATTGATTGGTACAAATTATGAAAATGGATACTGGAGGAAATTTATAAGGAAGTGTAGGGACCAATTTATAAAAATAAAAATAAATGTGCTGAAAAAGACAAAATCGAATAAAATAGATGTACCTGTTAGATTTGCTCCAATTTATTTTCATTTGGTCAGCAATTTCAGGCTTGGACAGCATCTTTCCTCTCTCCTTCCTCTGCCATTTTTATCACTCCCTCTCTTCCCTCTTGGATCTGTCTCCCTCTCATCGCATACGAGAGAGAGAGAGAGAGAGAGAGAGAGAGAGAGAGAGAATGGCAGTGATGAGCACGACGACTCCATCATCTCCAAGAAACTTGCCTGGTTATTTCTTCAGTGCACCGACAAGCCCACGAAGAGTTGCAGAGTTTTACAGGGACTACGATGATACATCAGCCGACGATTTCTTATCTAAGTCTCTATTTGTTCCCTTTGATGGGGAAGAGAAGCCGGGAACCCCTAAATCACCCGACAACGATATCAATTTCCCTCGTGATGGTGATGATGATGATGATGATGATTTCGCTTTCGACATCGGTGACAGATCCGAAACCGCATCTCTTTACGCAGAGGAGCTCTTCGACGGAGGCAAAATCAAGCCCTTGCAGCCTCAACCCGGTTTTCGATCAGACGACATTGATCAATCCAAGAAAACTTCACCTCTTTCGCCAATCTCTCAGGGTAAAAACCTCCTCCGCAAAGCCTTTTCACCCAAGAAGAAACCATTAGATGACGTTGACCCATTTGAAGCAGCCATTGAGAATCCACGAAATGGATCAAGAAGAGAACGAGGGAGACAGTTAGCGCATGATTCCAGCCGCAGATCGGCGAGATCTCTCTCCCCTTACCGGGTTTCGGCTTATCCATGGGAAGAAGAAGAAGAACATGAACATGAACAAGAACAAGAGCAGAAGAAGGAAGAATCGGAACCGTCGTTGAGCAAGAAGGGATCTTTATCATCTACTGCGTCATCGTCATCGTCGTCGTCATCCTCCTCCTCAAGAAAGTGGCGGCTAAGAGACTTTCTTCTGTTTAGAAGCGCATCAGAGGGAAGGGCAAAGCAGAAAGATTCGATCATGAAGTTTTCGGGTTTCTTCAAGAAACACGAAGACGTCAAGCACTCGAACTCGAGCTCGAGCTCTCAATCCAACAATAGAAGAAGGTCATCTATCTCGCCCCACGAGTTCCATTACATAACGAAGAAAGCAGAATCAAAAGACATGAAGAAGAAGACTTTCTTGCCTTACAAGCAAATAGGACGTTTCGCCTTCTAGTATGAATGATTATACATGTTATAGTTCATCAAAAATTCGAACAACTCAATGATTATTTGTTTGTTTATCTCTTACATATATATATATATATCTCTCTCTCTCTCTATATATATATATATATATATTGAGTTTGTTGATTCTCCCGAGTTATTGCATTGGCATTGGTACATTTTGTATATCCATAAAAAAAAAAACCTCCAAAATTCTATACGAGCCATGATTATAAGTTATATAATATATGCCTTGCCTTTCCTATGTTTTTTCTTTGGTAAATATGAGAGTTTGACATGGAACACTTTGATCGAAGATTCGATCAAAAAGTACACAAAATCTAGTACCTTGTATGCCCTTCTTTTAGATTCGATGAATGAAGAAAAACACATCCATAATTAAAAGATATAGGCCTTGAATGGTAGGAGTTTTTGGAGTTTTTAGAATCTAAAAACAAAAAAAAACAACATTCAAGTTTTTACAAAATTACTTTTCCTAAAAACTTGGAAAGCCATTTTAGTGAAAAAATCAATGAAAAACCAAAAGCTACTTTTTTTGAGTTTTCAAATATTATAAAATCCAAAAGCCAAAAACCAAAAACTAAAAACCAAAATCCAAAAACTAAAACAAAAAACCCAAAATAAAAGCCATCTCCATTCAAAGCAAAGTAAAAAACCAAAAATAAAAACCAATGTGATTCAAAGCCTTTAGTTTTTGGTTTTTGACTTTTAGGCCTTGAATGGTAGGAGTTTTTAGAGTTTTTAGAATCCAAAAACAAAAAAAACAACATTCAAGTTTTTACAAAATTACTTTTCCTAAAAACTTGGAAAGCCATTTTAGTGAAAAAATCAATGAAAAACCAAAAGCTACTTTTTTTGAGTTTTCAAATATTATAAAATCCAAAAGCCAAAAACCAAAAACTAAAAACCAAAATCCAAAAACTAAAACAAAAAACCCAAAATAAAAGCCATCTCCATTCAAAGCCATAATATGCATATAAGTTCTCATACTAACACTATCTAAAGCACAAATACTATAACTCCATCACAAAAGTTAGTTAGTTATCAAGACTTTCCTCAACATCAGTTCTCTCGAGCATATTACTAAAATAGGCTATTTTATCAAAATTACCCTTACTTTACTAAATGGATTTCAAATCATATATTTTTTAACCTATTTTTTTGTGATCATTATGATCAATAGGACCAATGTAACCACCATTTAAATTTAAACCATATGACTCTGATTTTAAAATAGGTTATGATGGTCATACCGGACACATAAAAAAGGTGTAAAATGGTATAATATGAAATCTATATAATTAAGTAAGGGTAATTTTTTTATAATGCCCTTCTTGAGTATTAACAATTTCCATTTTACGATGTTTGGTTATTTGAGAAAAACTACATCTAATACATTTAATATTGCATTCGATTTCGTTTATGATTTAGCTTTATTGATTAATATAATTAGTTTTCAAATATTGTATTTTTATTTTTATATTTGTTTTTGCTTTAATTTTTGGATTTAGAAAAAAATCATACTCATTCGATTTTTATATCGAATTCGGTTTGTTATTTGGTTTAGATCATTTCAGTTACACATAACTGAAACTAAATATCCTTCTCTAATCGGCATTATATAAAAAATACTCTTCATATACTATTTTGACTTCAACCTACCATTCTCTAGTTGTGGCAATGTGACCAGAATTATAGTCTGACCATATAGTGGTCATATTGGTCATAACGTTAAATTTATAATAGTTTTATCAAATGATTAGTTTGATATGTGAAGGGTGAACATAGTGAATTAGAGTGATCACCATAAATTTAACGTTATGACCAATATGACTACTGTGTGACCAAACTATAATTTTGGACACATGGTCACAGGTAGAGAAATGTATAGGTTGAAATCAAAATAACATATGGAGGATATTTTGATAATGCCCCTCTTTAATCAATTTCGCATAATTAGGGATGGATATGTGAATTTCATGTGAAGATGACATGGTTAAGAAGCGGTTCCCCGAATACCACTAAGGCCAAAGGAATACAAGAACGAATCGAACGCACCAGAATGAGAGAGATCCGAAGGCTATATAGATGTGCGACTATATGGTCTAAGATAACATATAGTGCTTTAGCATGCATGAGATACATTTAGGTTTCAAGTTACTCACTTCCCTATTTTGATTCTTGTGGGAATTGTTAAATTTAAAATTACGTGAAAGAATCAAAATGGGTCTAACCCATGAGAAATTCGATCGTGAAATGTTCTAAAAAATCTATAAATAAAAATCTCCAGAAAATCGAATATTTATTATTGATTGATATAAAAAAATCAAATCATAATAAAATATAGAAAAAAACCAATCATTTATGGTAAATTGATATAAAGAATAATATCAAAATCAAATGAAGTTGATTTAATCATCAATACAAGATATTCTCTTCTCTAATATAAATAGAGATCTTGGATTAGCTCGTTTTAATATTAAAAAAACATTCACATAATTGTCTCTCTACTCATATCTCTTTTCTCATTATGTTTGGTAATCAGAAAAATTCTTCTTAATATGTGGTTGATGTATTCTAGAAGTTTATCGTACTCCAATAACCTCGAAACTTTAGACGTGGTACAGTAATTAAACTTGAGAAAATTGTGTTTGACGGCTTTGAAAAAAAAAACTATTTATTGTAGATACTTGTGAGACCTATGCTAACAATAAATGTCTCCAACAATTTTTATATATTTAATCTTGTTTAAAGTTTGGGTACTATTGTAGTTATGTAGCCTTGTAGCACCACGTTGTGATATTTGTATTGTACATCCGATCAACCGGCAAAAACTACAATGGCCTCATTGGCTTTTAGAGTTTTAGGATTTCAAAAGGCCGAAAGAGTGAGCGGCATAGGCTTTGGGATTTGATATTTGTAAGATCTTAACCAAACAAGAAATAAAAAATTTGAATTCTTTCATTGAGCCGAAGAAAAAGAACAAGCGGGAGGCTGATGTTCTTGAGACTCCTGTCTCTCTCCGATCTCTGCCGCGTCGGATTCGCCGGAAAAGTTCCGTAGCGGCAATCCGGAGGTGGCGGAGGCGGCGGAGGGATGTGGCCGTCGATACAAGAAGAGCATCGACTCTCTGCCCATCTCTCCATGTCGTAGTCTCCGAAGCCCATGATGGTTTTACCGGTGCAGAGACGTCCGATGACGCCGACGACGACGCAGAGGACGGTGACGACGACCAGGACGGCGATGAAGGGTCCGACAGAGCCATCTCCGGCGGCGGTGGAGGAGGAAGATGACGCCTCTCCGTCGCCGGCGGTGGCTGTAGGTACAGTGGCATTGAGATTGCTGTAGAGAGTGAAGAAGAAGATGAGAGAGTGAGGCCTAATGGTGAAGAAAACGAGAGAATGGGGATCAAAACAATAATAAGATGATGATGATGATGAGTTACTATTTCTACTTCTCGATCTTACCTTGTGTGGCCGGTGAGTTTCGTATTTTTATTTCATGAATGGTTATTATTAATTAAATATAATTAAATGTACATAAATCAGATGTTTTTTTATTCTTGAATTTGTTTGGATAAATCATACAACTTTACTCTCCTATATTTTTATGAAAAGTAAAGTGAAATGAGATGTATTATTTGAAGACCAATTAAAAAAGTATGAAGAAACAAAAAAAAAAAAGTTGACTATCAACCAAAAAACTCACTATGTCAATGAAGTTAAACAAAACTATATAATTGGGTCTCCAAACATCATTTGCTCAAAATTATTTCCACTTATTATTGTTATTATATTTTTGCTTGTTATTTATATTTGATTTTTCTACAAGTTTGAATTTTTAATGCAGACAAGATATACATGATCTATAAAATATAAGAAGTAAACGGACAAGAGCAATCCAAAATTTTAAAAGACATTATTTCGGACAAGATTGGATTTAAACAATTAATCATTAGAAATGATGATTTTAATTCGGCCATTCAAGTTGATTAAAAAAACAATATATACTTAATTTTTATGATAAAAGTAATTGTATTGTTATTTAAAAGTATAACTCTATTCGAATCATGTCTCAAAGATGGGAAGAAAAGTAATTTACTAAATCATTGTTGTGGACAAAGACTTATATTGTTTTGAAATAATAAACGATCAAATTCTTTGAAGAGCGATGTCTCGTCGGGGGTAAATCTGGTTATATTACGATTGTTACATTCATTACAAACACTATAAAGAATGTTTTACCGTAGGAGGAGAACAAAGATGTGTAAATGGTTGATACTCAAATTACCTTGCAACCATTCTATGATATAAGCTCAATGAGTCGGATGTGACGCGATTTACCGTTAGGTTTTGATTTATTATAATCTTAAAGAGATTCGGTTATAGGATTCATACAGTGGAATATAAAATAAAAAAATTTCTAACCCCGGAACACGAATGTTAGTGCAATCGAGAACTAAATTTTTGAATCTCTAAGATATGCAGGATCTACAGATGTAGAGATTCACAATCACCTGGAGGTGTTGAAGAGCGTAAACAGTCTCTACAGATATCCACAAGATGAGATGAAATTCAACTCTTTGGATTGTGTATGATCATAAGACTGTTGTATTGGATTTTCTGGAATCTCGGACATGCGTATCATAATCACACAAGGACCTTGTTCTAGTGTTCATAAAGGGAAGATAAAACAAAAATTTTTAAACCTAGTACACGAACATGCATGCTATAGATCTTAAGGATCGGGACATGATCAAGCGATTCGGGGTTTGTAGATACGTTGATTCACCGTCACTATAAGGTGTTGGTGATTTACGTTTTTGGCTCAACCCATCTTTACTTAGATGAGAAGGAGTTAAGGAGAAATGGATACAATTTTTCATTTTACTTATATTATAAACAGAACGTCTTTCTTAAAATTTATAAAATTTCGTATTAAGATATGAAAATATAGAATATGGATAATTTAGAGACTAAAATAAAATGCATATATATTTTCTTGATGTAACTCATATAATGAAATATTTAAATGTTAATTTAAGAAAAGTACCGGTAAGTGGTGTTTCTTTATACGTATGTATACACACGAGATATATTTTACGAACATACCGATCAATGACCATTCGAGGATGCTTCGTCAGTGGCTCCACACTACAATTTAAAAACATAAGATACCCATCAACGACCTTTCGAGGATGCTTCGTCAGTGGCCATAAGCTTAAGGATCAGACATCAGACGTGAGAGTACTCTCTCTCTCTCTCTCTCTCTCTCTCTCTCCCACGAAAATGGCGGTAACCGATTTCTTCGTCGGTGAAATTGCGACGGAGCTTGTGAAGCAGCTCTTCCTGGTATCTATGAGGGCGTGCAAGTGCAAAACCAGCGCTGAATCACTCCGCATCATGATCGAGGATCATCTCCCGACAATCAAAGAGATCCAGTACAGTGGCGTTGAACTTCCCGAGCACCGTCAATTTCAGATCGATACCCTCCGTCAGACTCTGGTCAAGGGCCAGAAGCTCGCCGAGAAGATCCTGAGCTCCCACCGCTGGAACATGGTGAAGCAGCTTTACCTCGCGAGGAAGATGGAGAAGATCGAGAATACGGTTTCTAGATTTCTTCAGGGGCCGTTGATAACCCAAATTCTCGCTGACGTTCATCATCTCCGGGCCGATGCGTCCGCCAGCTTCGATCGGATAGATAAGAATTTCAACAAGCTGAGTAAGCAGATCGCTTCCATGAAAATTGGGGGAGGTGGCCTGGTTGTGGAGGCGATGAAGAGGGCGGAGATGACGATGGATATAGAGATGAACGGTGAGTTGGGAAATTTAGGGGTAGGGTTAGAACTGGGGAAGAGGAAGGTGAAGGAGATGATTTTTGACGATAAGGGCGGGATTGCTGGGATCACTGGTATGGGTGGGTCGGGGAAGACTACTCTTGCAAGAGAGCTTGAACGGGACGATGAAATCCGAAGTAAGTATCTCTGTTCATTTGATGTTCTAACTTAGTTGTTTCTGAATATGATGGGAAGTGAGGAACTTGTTCGTTAATTCTCTTGTTGTGGTGGGGGTTTCTGGAATATGAGTTCAAATTATGTGCTTAGAACTGCCGCCGAATCTGTCTTGGTTTTGTTCTTCTCGATTGATCCGTATGTTGCTGATCATTCATTTCTGTTAAAAGATATGTGGGAGGTTCAGTTCCTTATATAGCATGTTATGTTACTTATTTGGGTGAGGAAATCTGAATCTCGAGCTCTGGTTAGGAGTCAGGAGACTATTTCTTTGCCTTGATGTGCGCCCTGGCGCTAAGATCACTGATATTTGTCCATTTACTGCGTTTTCAGGGCACTTCGACAACCGGGTTTTGTTTCTCACGGTTTCACAGTCACCAAATCTAGACGAGCTGAGGTCCCTTATCTGGGGTTTTTTGTCTGGGTGTGAGGCTTTACATCCTGCTGATCTTCCCGAGTGGAACTTCCAATTCGAGTATGGAGTTAAAAGTCGGGCGCTCGTGATTCTTGACGATGTCTGGACAATCGAAGCACTAAACCAGTTGACGTTTAAGATCCCTGGCTGCACAACTCTTGTGGTCTCGCGATCCAAATTCACAGGCCCTAGTGCCACTTATCATGTGGAATTACTAAGGAAAGAGGAAGCGATGTCCCTGTTCTGTCTTTGTGCTTTCGGGCAGAAGTCCGTGCCTCCTGCTTTCAGTGAGAATTTGGTCAAGCAGGTAACTTGCCACTTTCTTCTCCAGCAAATGCTTGGTTCCAGTGCTGAGATTTCGATGTGTTTGGCAGATTGTTGATGAATGTAAAGGACTACCTTTGGCTCTCAAAGTGATCGGTGCTTCATTGAAAGACCGACCTCAAAAGTATTGGGAGGGTGCGGCAAAGAGGCTATCAAGGGGTGAACCTGCTGATGAAGCTCATGAGAGTAGCGTGCTTGATCAGATCGCTACAAGCCTGGAAAATCTAGACCTGAAGAGCAGAGAATGTTTCATGGATCTGGGTGCTTTCCCTGAAGACAAGAAGATTCCCCTTGATGTTCTTATCAACATGTGGGTTGGCATCCATGATATCGAGGAAGAAGAAGCTTTTAAGGTTCTTGTCGATTTATCAGATAAGAATCTCCTCACTCTCGTGAAAGATCCGAGGTATCACATTTTTAGAACTTTTTATTTGTGTTTTTTTTCATCTCATCTCCTTGTGGATTTAGTCAATTGCATACTAACCATGTTTGTTTTGCAGGCTTGGCGCATCGTACACAAGCTACTACGATATATTTGTTACCCAACACGATGTTTTGCGGGATCTTGCTCTTCATCTCAGTGGTCGTGGAAAAGCAAATCGGAGACAGAGGTTGCTGATGCCTAAAAGAGACTCGGCACTTCCGAGAGAATGGGAGAGGAACAATGATGAGCCATACAATGCCCTAATCGTGTCCTTCCACACGGGTATCGACTTCTTGTGTTTGGTTCTCGATTTTAATCGGATCCGTTTGCTTCAAAGATACCGTGTTTAACAGATTCCTATCTTTGTAGGGGAAATGGATGAGATGGATTGGTTTGACATGGAATTCCCCAAGGCAGAAGTTCTGATCCTCAACTTCTCTTCAGACAAGTATTTCTTGCCACCTTTCATCAGCAAGATGCGCAAACTCCGAGCCCTCGTGATTATCAACAATGGCATGTCACCGGCGGTTATCAATGACTTCTCCGTCTTCTCGGACCTGACCTGCCTAAGGAGTCTCTGGCTCGAGAGAGTTCATGTCCCTGAGCTCTCGAACAGTACGATTCCCCTGGAAAACCTCCGGAAGATGTCTCTTATCCTCTGTAAGGTCAACAACAGTTTCGCTCAGAAAGAACTCGACATCTCCAAGGTTTTCCCGAGATTGTATGATCTCACGATTGATCATTGCGATGATCTTATCGAGCTACCGACGAGCATTTGCGGGATGAAATCACTCCACTCTTTAAGCGTAACGAATTGTCACCGCCTTTGCGAATTACCGAAGAGCCTAGGCAAACTGCAAGCCCTTCAAATCCTGAGGCTATACGCATGCCCCGAGCTGAAGATCGTGCCTGAGGAAATCTGCGAGTTGCCTGACCTCAAGTACGTCGACATTTCCCAGTGTGTTAACCTGACGTCTCTTCCGAAGGAGATAGGAAATCTCAAGTGGCTCGAGAAAATCGACATGAGGGAGTGTTGGATATCGGGTTTACCAAGATCCGCTGTTTTGTTGAAGTCTCTACGCCACGTTATATGCGACAAAGATGCGGAAGAAATGTGGGACGACGTCGTGAAGGCCGTCGAAGGTCTTTATGTGGAAGCCGCCGAGAAATCCTTCAGCCTCGCTTGGCTCGATGAGTAGGCAATCTGCATTCTATCGAAACCCTAAATTCACTGTTCTAAATACCAACTTTCTAGAATCTATTCACCGGTCTTTCAAGTATATGTATGTGTGTGTAGTATATACATGTACACACTTAGTACAAGTCTGTACATGTTTTCTTCTTCGTGATCATCGAATAAACCATTGCATGGTTACCATGCCCTACTCTTTTACTTGCCAAAATTTTGATTGTTGCCTATGCTCGTGGATATTTGGATACGGTTTTTCAGAATCCAACCGTATCGAACCATACTGTTTTTGAATTGAATCTTCCAAAATTTTTAAATTGTACCAAATTTTTCGAAAACGAATCAAAACGAAATTTAAAAAATTCGAAAAAATTATTTTTTTAATAAAAATCAAAATAAAACTGAATATAATATACTAACCGATTGATATATACTTTTTATAAAACTGAACTTAATCATTTACGGACGAACGGGATATCGAAATGTTCACTTCTGTCATTTATTATATTAATTCTATTAACCCAAGATGGAATTCAAAAAAAGAAAAAGAAAAACGATTGTGGAATTTGTTGATGAGAAGCATGTGAGAGTCTCGTCTTTATGATATAATTGATTATGTGGGTCCCGGTCTGGCTGCTACATAGAAGTCTTTCGTGTGAACACAAAAAGAGCCTTTTGACTTCTCTGCCTTGTTTGGGTCACAGAATAAGATGGCTCACCGATTCAATTGTCGTATCTGAATTTATTCCATTTGGATATGCCACAATTCGTTCACTTATGCTCATAATTTCTTTACGTATTTAATAATTATTACTAATAATCAATAATAGTTTTTTTTTGCGTCATCATAGTGTATGCAGACTTTATCTATTTAAATCATGCAAATAATAACCCGGTCTTATATTATACTCTTTTGGTTTAATCTTACTGGGATCATTCTTGATTTGAATACCACAATCTAAAACCTATACTTTCAACTTCGCTACTTTTCTCTCCTAGATGCAAGTAATATTCAATCTCTTTCTACTTATCATGTCTACAAGTTTCATCAACTTTCCTGTGAGCGATCCAACATTCCAAATATCTACCCTAACGTTACGTTCCATTAAATCTTTCTTATTCATCTTCTTATAGAACTGTTTATACTCTATTCTACCTAGACTTTCAGTAACATCGGCACTCTAGACTAACTTATTTACCCACATTTGTCTATGGTGTGAAAACCCTTGCAACACCATATCCGGACACCGACATGACACGTCGCATTCGGGTATACCCTATACCCTTGCCTATTTTTCACTACACCCGCATTCCGGTGTAATGCGTCATAAGCAGACAACTCTCCAATGTTTATATTACTAGAATTTATTGTATGTAAGATATGATATTTGGTTTTAGTTTTGCTGTTACCAACCTAACACAAAACCCCTTCCTATCTTTAATCCAGATTTGAGATCGACTAGATAAGAATGAACTTGCCTAGACTCTGAAAGTCGTGCAAACAATTTATAGAAATTTATGAACATGCCACAGTGGAAAACAATGTTTTGGAAAGATTTGTAAATATCAATCGAGTTTTGGCATTTTAAAAATATCAATCTAGTTCAAATGCTTCGGATTATGTTCAGATCCGCAGATAACATCCATGAACCAAAACATGAAAACAATGTTTTGGAAAGACTTGTAAATATCATTCGAGTATGTTACATTTTGTCGGAAACCCACCAAAACTAGAACCGGACACATAAAAATCTACAATGTTACATGACACACACACACACACACACGGAGAAAACAACAACAACAACCAAACTTGCCCCAAAAAAAAAAAAAAAAAAACCCACAACTTTATATGTAAAACGAAACTCAAAATGTTAAAATTGAAACACTCACAGGAACCTGGTCGGCAAGTACTCGTCTATTCTCAGTGGCATGCTATAGAACTCCTCGTTCCTCATATCGCCTTTTCTGTGTTGGAACGGCTTCCACCACGGTATTCCCCTTTCCTCTATGGCGTGCCGGGCTTCCAGCGTGTTGTCAAGTATCGTTGCCACTATGATCGCCACCATTGGAGCTGACCCGAATATCGTGTTCAGTATATCGTTGAACTGTCCAAGCCATAAGTTACCATTGTTATTGTACCAAAGTCATAAACTTTAAAGACCGGAGCAAAAGCATTACAGAACACACAGATTCATATTGAGCATTACTACAAAGACTGACGAAGGAAAAATGCAATCAAATTTCGAGGGCATACCCATCCACCTGACGTCCGAACTGGTCCATATCCCTCCCTTGTAGTGTTAGAAACAAAATACTGAGCTATCGAGAGCCCGAGGAACAGAGATACCCCGAGGACGTAGATATTTCTCATGGAATTCGTGTTAGAGAACTGTATAAACGAGATCCCGACAGCAGCTGGACAAACCATGAAACAAAAACGAACACAAGGAACCAAAACAGTGTTAATATGGAAGAAGCCTTACAAAGAGATATCAGAAGAAAACAGTGCATCTCACCAACGATTCCGAGTAGTACACAGTATATGGCTGCAAAGATGGGAAGTGGTATAGATGCAAAGAAAGCACCGAATTTTCCTGATGATCACAAATGGAGAGTTCAAAAGTCGAAATACCGAATCTAAAAAAAAGTTGGGTTTCGTTCAGATGAGTTGGAAGACAGACCAAATATGGAGAAAAAGATCATGAAACCCGTCGAGATCTGTACCACTCTTCTACTCCCTATTCGTGTCAGTCCAAGAAGACCGACATTTTCACTGTGTAAACACCGAGAATTATAAAAAAAAAACAGTACTAGGATTGATGACTAAATAGGAGAACTAATGCACAGCTCTAGAAGGAAAGTATTTAGCGCTTACACGGATGCAGTGTTTCCGACAATGGAGCCGAAGATTCCTTCAAGGAGCATGCCAATACCCTTCAAGGTAAATTATTACATAAAACACTTGCAGAAAACGGGGCAAGCTTTCCGGTGGAACACAAAGAATCAGTTATGTATTAGATAAACGATGGCGAAAGAGATTTAAGACAGTGGACACAGATGGAGAACCTGTAGCCCGACACTACGGGAAACGACATGAGCTGGAGGCGCTGTTGCTCCTGCCAGACGGGAAGCGGCAAAAAAGGTTCCAGAAGACTAACAAAAAAAAAACAAAGAGAAAATTGCTCTTCAATAGGTGGAAACCCAAAAAAGAATATGTTGTAGGCCAAGAAGAATATCTATAGAACAAAATAGAAATACTGACAAATAAAATTTCACGGAAGAAGCTGATACCTCTGCAGCTGCAACAATTGCAGCACCAAACATTCCAAACACGTGACTCGCTCTGAATATCGGAGTTCCCCATTGAAACGGATACGGAATCTTGATCCTGTACAAGTGATGAACGATGGAATTAACCACACCTTTACCGAAGAAGAATAAAAGCCGCGAAGGGTAGTATCAATCGGCTTACCAAGGAGCTGTGGACATGAGAAAGGCGCGATCTGTACGGCAGTTTTGCTTTGTCACGGCCGAGACGTTGTTGTAAGCACCAGCAACAGTGAGGATAGCGGCGAAAGCCCATATAAGTCCCATGCAAAGAAGTAAAGCGTATCTCTCGAGTGCAGCATGTGCCCTCGGAAGGAGATGTCTCAAATACTGCAAGGCAAATGAGGAAGCTCAATCTTAACCATTAAATAAGGGGTTGATTTTTTTGTTTGTGAAGAAATCTTAAAATAACCAGTAGGCAAAAATGAAACGAGGAAGTCCCGCGGGAAAAAGTTACTTGCTGTGAGACAATCAACAGAATCAGCATAGGCAGACCGATTTCCACGCAGTTAGCAAGCTGTAAAGGACAAAGAGCTTACACAATGACATTAGAACGGAATTCTTTTTTATCATTGTTAAGCCAATTGAGTTCTTATAAATAATTACCAACGGAAAGCCCCTAATGAACAGACCAAGGCCCACGAGACTAACCACCGGCACAACAATAATGGGGGTAAAGATTCTACATGAAAACCCAAGATGATAAGCGTTAGGATATTTGACATAAAGGGAATAAGAATCTTCTCTTTGATCAAAAGTTCATTAGAAATTTGCGTCACCTTATCAGGTTTCCCCATGCTTGACCATATCCAAGTATGATATTCACGAACGACGCAATGATTAGAGATCCTTGTACAGTTCTTATGGTATGCCGAAATCTCTGTAAAGACCCATGTCTAAAAATCAAAAAATAAAAGGGAGAAAGAAAGGCAATGGCATCTCTCCAAAATGACAAGGAAATGAAACAGGAGTAAGACAGCAAATGCAAGCAGACAGCTACCACGAGAATACTCGGAAAAAATGAGGAATGCACTGTTAAACTACAATGTGAAATGGATACACCAGTTTCCTAGATCACTGTCAAAATCAACAGCATTGTGGCCCGGTCTAGATGCATAGAGGTAATCTATTATTGCAATTCCATGATTAGTTCTGGAAGGACGATGCTAAGGCCTTTGATGCGATCAAATGGTTTCTTTAACAATGTATTTTCAAGGTACCTTCAATAGTACTCGTTACTCGATTACTAGAAGTTCTGCCTGTTACACATCTTTTCATACCGGATAAAAACCATTTTACGATAGCAAGGATGCAATATAAATTGAGGCTAAACAGGCATGCGCTGGAGAACAACATTTTTTTAATTATGGATCTATTCAGCACCAAACCAAGATTACCTGCTTCTCGGATGCAAACTGACCATCATTGTAATCTCTGATGATCGACAACACGGGAAGAATATACGCAAAAGAAACTCCCATCACCGTAGGAAGCCTTGTCCCGATAAGGGTTTGTAGCAACGTGTTTATTCCCGACATAAACAGCAGTGTCTGGATTACTCGCGCTTTATCACCCTATTCGTTCAAAGCATCAATAAAACAGCCCAATGCATATCCGTGACAAGAAAATGAATATCCGAGTGTCAATAACATACATTATCCCCACCCATCTGGGGCACAAGAGTGTTGGCAATCAACACGGTTGTCCCAAGCATCACAATGTAGTGTTGGAAAGCCAGTAAAACAGATTCATCTGCCGAAATCAAAATTAGAAAAACCAAGGAGACAGAGATGGTTAAGCCGACAGGGACAACATATAGAACTAAAATATCTATCAAATATAAAGCAAAAACAGACTAATCCAACTATTAGAGTAAATCTCTCTAATATAGATCGACGCATAGGAACGGATTAAATTAGTAGATTAGTAGTTAACGAGAAATCATAAAACAATAAGGATTAAGTATAAGCTAATATCACTAAACCAGATACTAAGATTCTGGGATCTAAAATGTTCCTCAAAGAATTGGAATCAGAACACACAGAAATCCAGAAAAGGTACCATAAACATTAACTAAATAAAAAAGGAAATTATAAAATCAAGCAACTTTTGACCAGAGAAGATTTTTAAACTCTAACCCATCTTTACATCTGAATCATGATTAAATAATCTGCGAACTACAGGCGAAAAGCAGAGAGAGAGAGACTGACGCCATGAAGGGTTTGAGTGGATGCAGTACTGAAGCTGGTGGAGCTGCTCCGCCGGAGTCCAAGTGGGTCCCCTCGAAACCGCCAGAGACGGCGGAACAACCATCGGCGGAGCAGCGGCGGAGGCGGTCGCCGGAGGATGGTGTTGATGGTCCCCTGTTTCCACCATTCTGAATCAACTTTTTCCTTTTTCTTTTGGTATATTGACACAAAGTTGGAAACTTTCGGAATCTCTTTCTTACAGAAACCTTTTCGATCCAACCGACAGAGGGAAGATGATGATAAAGGAGTTCGCGTAGAGAAGCGAATCTCGAGACAAAGAAGTTCAGATAGAACAAAAAAAAAAGAGAGAGAGAGAGAGAAAAGTCACTTGTTTGCTTTCGGGAAACGGAATGGAGTAAAGTTTTATCTTATTTAATTTTTAAAAGAAATTAAATATAATAAAAATGCGAAGATAAATGTTATCATGAACTTTCTTCAGGAGGTGATTGAAGAGCCAAACCTTATCATATTGTTCAACCAAACTCTAACCCCAAAATGCCTACAACATTTGCCGATAAGCTTGTACTTGTTTTGAAAGATCATCGCATTTCTTTTGAAAGATCATCATAAATGATTAAAGTATGTTACAAATAAACGATTTGAATACCTATTGATTCTAGTAACTTATTGTAGTGTTGATTGTTGGGATATTTCAATTAATAGATTTGGATCTCATAACTATGGATGGGGATATTCTCGAAACTGATAAAGAAAAAAAAGAAGCGGACACAAACCCAACACGGCGGAGGGACTTGCATCTTTTTCGGAAGAAGAAGAAACCACTCTCCTCGGCCCTTCTCTGTCGGTCGGACCGGACCGGACCGGACGAAGGTGTCTCCACGTGACTTGAAGTCATTATCTGGAACGAAAATATATCCTCCTCATTCGGCCGGAATCACAAGATTTTTCATGGTTAAAGGAGGGGTAAACTGGACTTTTCTTTCGTCTATGCCAGAAAATATTGTTAATGAAAATGAGAATCCGTTATTTTTTCCCCCTGCTAAATGCTCTACTACTCCGAACAGGATAAATTACAGCTCTAAAAACCCTAAAAATTTCAACAGTTGCAAGATGCCGTATTGTCTCCTCATCTGCAAATCATTCTCTTCATAATCCAGAATCTCATGTGTTCTTGACTTTGCTCTCTTTCCTTACATTGGTTGTGGAATCCCTGTTGATTTAATCAGCGATTAGGTGCTCACACGAAAAAATGGGAAAGAACTGCGATGTTTGCGTGGAGTGGGAAGAAGAAATGTATTGGACCCATTTCCAATCTATCCATTTTTCTCAGTTTTTCCTACCTGGTTTTGATCGACGCCTCGTAAGCCACAATTTTTATTACCTGCAAGCTTAATAATCGATATGGGTTTTCATAGATTTGCCTTTTCTTTGTGACGCATGGTGTATATTTGATTTTGGGAATTCTGAAACTTGTTGTTGCTTTTCTCCATTTGCAGAGGGTTGTGGGAATTCTGAAACTTTAAAGAGTTTGTAAACAACCTTTGGATACACTGCTATATTTTATAGGCTTAGTAATCGATATGGGTTTTCATAAATTTGCCTTCTTTTTTGTGATCCATGGTCGTATATTTGATTTTGGGCATTTGGTTTTATGATCTCTTGGAGTTGTTGCTTTTCTCCTGTTGCAGAGGATGTGGGCATTTCTGAAACCATGACTATAGTATATATCCTTTGGATACATTCCCCTATTTCTTAGGTTTTCACAGCTTTTTGGCGATTCTGTTTGTTGGAAGTTTTTGTTGATTGCCTAGTAATCTGATGTTGTCTGATGAAGTCCTTGAGATGACATTAGGGAATTAGCATGAGTTTCTGAAAAAAATGAAGCTGTTTCTCGATCTAAATTGCCGAGTGTATGAGTAACCAGTGTGATCTTTGCACCAATCTTCGCTTGTTTCTTTATTCAGCTTTTCAATTGGATTCTTTGGTTGAGAACTCTGTAAATATTGCAGCCTATACCTCAAAAGTTTTCAGTACACTGCAAAAAGAAGTTACCTTTGGTTGTGACACTCAAAAGTCCGAGTGGTGTGACATACAACGTTGGACTTGAAGCAGAGAGTAATGGTGCACTGGCTTTCCGAAACGGGTGGCTGGAGTTTGCGAGAGATCATTTGCTAGAGGAAAACGATCTCTTGGTCTTCAAGTTCAATGGAGTGTCACACTTTGAAGTGCTGATATTCGATGGAAAGAGCTTATGTGAGAAGGCGACTTCTTATTTCGTCAAGAAATGTTGTCATGCAGGCAGCACGAGTGAACGCCACGGCAAAAGAAAAGCTGCAGATTACTCTGCCACCTCTGGAGCTCCAGTAAATCACCTTATCGGTGATGTCTATACGACACCGATCCATCAGTCTGTAAAATCTTCAGCTGGTAATGGGCAAGAAGAAGACATTAGCTTTGATTTTGACACAACACCAAACCAACGACCTGTAGTATCTTCGGCAGGTAATGAAGCACGTCTGTAAAAGGAAATAGTATCCCATTAGCACTGTCTGGAAAATACAAAGAGAAAGAAGTGAGATGAGCTTGGGTTCTGAGACCTGACTTGTGTATCGAACATTGTATTGAACCAATATATATATACATATGTATGTATTTTGGTGTAATGACTAGGAATCATCATGCTAGCCACGATTGTCAAACTTTTGCTTTTGAACTTTACATGTTAGACCGAATCTGCAAGTTTTTTTTTGGGTGAAAGAATCTGCAAGTTTATTAGTTTTCGGCTTTGTTTATCCACGATTTGCTGTAGGAAATTTATGTCTGACCGTTTTCTGTTGGTACAGAAAGGAGAAGAAGCGGCAACTCGAAATCCTCGGCAAATGGAAGTGCCTTATTGTCTCTGGCTGAGGCAGCCACCTCGCAGGATGGTTTCTTAGTGGTTATGAAGCATTCTCATGTGACATCAAAGTTCTTCATGGTAAGATTTTTTACATTGGTTTTTTTTGTACCTCTCTCTCAAGAATCTCCCGCTTACATTTGCCTTGGGGGGACTTTCTGATTCACAGACTATGCCAAAGAAATGGAGTGTCAAATACCTATCCGACGAAACTCAAGAGGTAGTTTTGCGCATTGACCAGACGACATGGAAGATGACATTTAGCTATTGCAGATCTCGTAATTATGGCGGGCTCTCTGGCGTTGGGTGGAAGAAATTTGTTTCTGGTAACAACTTGAATGAGGGCGATATCCTCGTCTTTGAGCCGACCAACTTCGGTACTAAACCGCTTCTTCTTGATGTCGGTATATTCCGAGTAGCGGAAGTGGGCACACCGATCATGGCAACCCACTTACAGGATGTTGAAGTGCAAACACTGCAGCATCAGGAAGGAAATGATCATATTGAAGGGCAAACACAGCAGCAGCAGGAGGGAAATGATCATATGTACAAGTACAACTGAAGATGATGAAAGCTAACATTCAGCTTTCGATTACCACAATTAGGAAACTTGAACTGGGTAACTTGTATTATTGAATGTTTAGAGTAGATTATACCAGTCTGTTACTTGGAAGGGTTGCCTATGATAAGTATATGATGAGGTGATGTTTTGGATGAAGCATGAAGGTTGTTCTCAGGTATTGTTTTGCAAGATCAGTAATTTCAGGGAAATGTCACATGCTTTTGTGGTTTTACTGAAAGATTTTGTAATTGTCGTTGTGAAATATTCAGAAAATAAATTTATGGGTTTATACCAAATTTCACAAGAATTCGAAATGTGAGTGAAACCCCAAGAAATAAGGTCCAATTCAATTGCGATGTCCTCTCTCAACGTGCATGACTGGAGACCTGGGTACTGATATTCCTTGTTCCTATTTTTTTTTTCTCTGAAAAAACACACAAAAAAAAAAGAGAACTCTTTCATTTTCTTTAGTGGGTTGTGATATTTGGGTGTTCTTGCTCCATTTGCTGCTCGTAAAGAAGAAATGGAAGAGAATTGCGAGGATCGCATGGAGTGGGAAGAGGAAATGTATTGGACCCATTTCAAGTTCATCCATTTCTCTCAGTTTCTCCTTCCCGGGTTTCATCATCGCCTCGTAAGTTTCAAACTTTCCTTTTATTTTTAGGTCATTCTTATTGTTCATACGTTTACCTTCCTCATCGATCAATCTCTTCAATTGCTTTGTTGAATCTTTGAACTGATGGGTTCCTTTGATTCTTATTCTTGGCCTTCATTTCGGAATTTTCTTCGGGGCCTTCGTCCTCGTCTTGTTCATATGCTGGACTTTTTAGCATCTTTTTACTTAAACCATCCTCGTAATCGTTCATATATTCCCCCCCTCTGTCATCGATGCCTCACTCACTTCCTTGAATCTTGTAAGTTCCTTTAGTTCCAACATTCTCTGTTTTGTTACCGTATTTCATGGATTATGTCTGTTTGTTCTTGTCTGATGTTGATGTTTCCTGCCTGAAAATCCCTAAGAATACACTTATAATTGACATGTTTCTGAGAAATACTGCAGTTTCTGGGTCTAAGTAGCTGAAAAACAGTGAAGTAACTTGATTTTGGCTTGCATACGAGTATTTTACTTTCGTTTTCTCCATTTCAGAACATGTTATCTGAATGACAACATTGTGAAAATTGCAGGCATTACCTCGAAAGTTTTCTATACACTGCAAAAAGAAGCTTCCTGAGACTGTGAAGCTCAAAAGTCCAAGTGGTGTGGCATACAATGTTGGACTTCAAGCCGAGAACGGTACCCTGTCTTTTCGCCATGGTTGGGATGAGTTTGTGAAAGATCATTCGTTAGAGAAGAATGATCTATTGGTCTTCAAGTTCGATGGATCATCCCACTTCGATGTGCTAATATTTGATGGTGAGAGCTTCTGTGAGAAGGCGAGCTCTTATTTTGTAAGAAAACGTGGGCAGATAGAAGGCATGACTGGAGACCGTGGAAAGAGAAAAGCTGCAGATTTTTCCAACGTTTCTTCGAGATCTGATGTTGAAAAATCGCCAACTGAGGAGCCTTTGGTATCTCCAACTTGTAATGAGCACGGACAGCACATCAGCTCGGATGTTCAGGAAACACCAATTGAGCCATTTGTAATATCTCCTCCTGGTAATGAGCGTGAACAAGGCATTGCCTTTGTTTCCGATTCAAGAACGCTTCAGAACCCCGTAATTTCTCCATCTGGTGATGGGAGAGTCAAAGAAGGGAAATACACCATTAGTGCCTTTCAGGGAATGCAGAGAGATGGGAGTAATATCGAGAACTCGGACCATATGGATATTAAACCTGGTACGAAACATTTCCATTTGTCTTTTTCTTTGTCGATTACGCTTTGCCTGGTTACTAGGAAACATCATGGTGACTGCAATTCTAGTACCATCTTTAACTCTGTACTGTAGCTTGTATCTATACTTCTATAGACCCTAAAACCTAAACTCTATATGCTTTGAGGTATTAATCAAGAATTTTCCAAATGGTTAAGATATCAGAACGGTTTCTGGTTGTACTGAAAGGAGAAGCAGCAGCGTGAAGGTTTTCCCAGAGAGAAGAGCCATAACCGAGACTGAGAAAAGGAATGCCTTATCTCTGGCCCAGGCCGCCACTTCGCAGGATGGATTTTTGGTGGTTATGAAACGCACACACGTGACATTGAAGTATTTCCTCGTAAGACTTTTGTGTTCAGCTCATAACGTTTTTGTTATCGTCTCCTCTATGTTGTGGATTTCGAGATTTTGCTTCTTAACCTGTGTGATTCATTTTCAGAGCATCCCGAACAAGTGGTTACAGAAGTTCATGTTTATAGAAAATCAAGAGGTGGTGCTGAGAGTGGACCAAAGAACGTGGAACACGGCGTTTCACTATTTCAGGAATAAATGTTATGGCGGGCTTTCGAGCGGGTGGCGGAAATTTGTCCACGATAATGGCATATATGAATGCGATATCTGTGTGTTTGAGCCAACCAGCTCGGTGTCCAAGCCTCTTCTTCTCGATGTCTATATTTTCCGCGCTTCAGGAGTCGACATAAAAGCTATTGCTGACCCGTTTACGACGGCCTGAGGGCCAAGACAATGGAATCCACCGTGGAGGAGAAAACAGAGGATGAAAAAATCTCGGTTCTCGAATTTTGGAAACCCGGTTTAGCTGTGATATATAGTTGTATTGAGAAAGTCTTGGTGGATTCTATTCTGCCAGTGTAGGTTTTTTGGGAACGTTAGGGAACTGCTTCTTGGTAAGCTTTCTGTACATTCCAAGTGTATGCAGCGCAAGTAGTGCTTTGTATACCTGGAAGTTTACAATAGGTTCAGTTCGGTTATTGTATATACCGGAAATCCGATAACCCGGTTTAGAATGTACCTGAAAACTTGTTATGTTGAAGGTTATACACTGCTAAAGCTAACTCTTTCTGGTATGGGTGGATGTTTCGGTTCGGAATCAAACCGTACCAAACCGAAAATTTCGATATATTTTTCGAATCGTACCATTCAAAATTCTCGAACGATATATTTTTATAAAACGGAATTTTCCAAAACCGAACCGAACTGAAACGAATTTTACAAAATTCCAGAAAAAAAAAAAGAAAAATATTTAAGAAAATCTAAATTTTTTAAACAAAAACCGAAATCAAACTGTACCGAATAATATACGGTACTGATTTGATACAAATTTTAGAATATCGAATAAACCGTTTCCGAATCGAACCGTTAAAATTCCGATATGAATCTCGAAACGTTCACCCCTAGTTTCTTGGAATGCATTTCTGTTTGGATTCGGTTTATATTCATTCATTTTCAAATAGAATCGGTTTCAGTTTTTATTCCAATCCTGTCTTTATTGATAAAAAAAAAAGTGTTTTATTTTTTTAAAGAAACTTTTGGGATCGATTGGGTTTTGATTTGAATATATTGGGATGGATTGGGTTTTTTATTTTTAACAAGTGAACCGAATGCGATATAAAAAAAAAATATTCATGAACGATTTTTATAAATAAAAAAAGAACAAAGAAAATGTAAGTCCATATATTTAAGAGAGAATATTATCCATGTCTCACGTCGTCCACACTCTTACACTCACCTTATCCAGAGCAGAACTAAAAATACTCCTCTCTCCATCTCTTTCCCCTGTCTGCAAATCCCTCCTCCTTACAAACAGGTAACAAACCCTAGAACCCTTTCTCTCTTTTGGGTTCGACTCTGATTTATTCTCTAGAAATTTGATTTTCTTTTCATACAGCTTCTGGATTATGCCAAGTCCTGTTGTGGATTCGTATATAGATTGGTTTATTAACTCATAATAAGAACTAGTCAACCAAATTTGATTGCGGATTTCACCATATCTTTACTGGAATTGGAATTTGATTTCACTTTGGAGGAACTTCATTGTAGCTGACGCGGAAGGGTTTGTACCCTTTTGTCTTTCTTCCTAGCTTCAGGGTTTATATAGATTCATGTATGAACACATTACAAGAACTGAATCAATGGCATTGTTTTAAGGGCTTGATCGCCTCTGCTTCAGCATTTTCTTCATCTTTGTTTCCTTGCATGTCTTCATCATAGCTTCATGCTTATGTCAATAATAAAGTAGTTTGTGTGGATTATGATCTCACAACCCATTTAGAGAATTTGAATCAATTAGCTTTGTTTAAGCATTAAGCATATATGTCTTCAGCAATTGGCTTGACAGGCTCTGCAGACATGGCGACAACAACGGCGGTTATGTCTTCAGCGAGTCCAAGAGCAGCCATGGTGAATACCTTCACACAAACTAAGAAGAAAACAGACATGAAGATCTCTTACATAAGAGGAATAAACTCTTACGGTGGTCTGAAAGCACAGAACAAGGCTGTCTCCATGGGAATGCCAATGTCTACCGAGCAATGTTTCGCCAATGTTGTTACGGCACTGAAGGGAAGAAGAGGAGGCAATGGTTCTCTTTCTTCGACTTGTAATGCGGTTGGAGAGATTTTCAGGATAGCGGCTATCATGAACGGTCTTGTTCTTGTTGGTGTTGCGGTTGGATTCGTTCTTCTACGTATCGAAGCATCTGTTGAGGAAGCCGAGTAAATAATACATATGCGCCTTTACATATTGTGTTCAATCGAGCTGTCAAGACTCGGGTTCATTTCACATTTTTATGCAATGTAGCATTTTCGTTCCTTCTCTTGATAATCTCTTCCTTAGCATATTGCGTGTGTCTATTGATCTATTGTCATTTGCATCTTCCAAGATTGTTTTCGTGGATCTTAGCAAAGGTTATGTGCAAGGTAAGTCGCTGTAGCTCTAGAGTGTCACCTATCCTAAAGGTCCTATATTCGAGTCAGCAGACAGAGGACGATGATGCAATTTAATTGTTCCAAAAATTGCCTTCCATTCTATGGGATTAGGTGGGCCGAAGATCCGGTAAACTTACTAATTAAAAGTTAAAGACTTTGAGCTGCAAAGTAGTAAACAACTTGCTGGAAGCTTGGTTCCCTTAGTAACATTGGCTGAAATGATCATTAAGATTACTACTAGTTAGGATGTGTTGAAGACCATGAAGATGAGAGTGCCGAAGATTACTTGGAGACTGCTGAAGAGAAGGCTCAAAGACACCAGCATGAGACGACGTCGTTGCATAGGAACATGGAAACAGACCAACCTTGACGTTAGAAGACATGACACCTAAAGCGCTACTCTGATCAGATTTGGAAAGGAGACAAATCAGCCTCTATAGTTCCGTTGCTGCATATCAATTGGCATGAAGAATAATATCAAGACATTTCCTTATCTGTAGATTTAGGAATATTGAGTCTTTTCCTTCTTTGCTTCTAAACCTGTATATATGAAGAGAGCAATTGTACATTTTTTGAGTAATTGGGAATAAAGTGAAATCAGACCAGATTCACCCCCAAAACACCATCGTAGTTCTTGTCTTCCTCTTCAATCCAGAATACTGAAACCATTGCAGACTCCTTGATTTTGCTTTTCTATATGGTATCAGAGCAGAAGATCATTTAAATCTCTGTCTCTCTTCCAATTTTTTTTTTTTTTTTTTTTTTGTTCGATTGCTGTTTCTTTTCCATATTCCAATCTTCGAAACTCCTCACATCTGCAATGGATAATCCGCAAAAACTCATTCCAATCGTCTTGAATGGCGACAATTATTTTTATTGGACAAAAGCTGCTACTGCAGCCCTCAACAGCAAGGGTCTTTGGGACCATGTCGTGTCTCAGAAGGGTCCCTCCCCACAAGTCCTGGCTGCTGAAGGCGAAACTGCAGAACAGACAGCACTTCGACAACAACAGACTGATGCAGACTTCAACAAAAAATGGAAACAGGCTGATAGCCAAGCCTTGGTCATTCTTCAAGGCTCCCTTGAGCCCCATATTCTGCAGTCGTTCATCTCCAATGATACCGCGAAATCGCTTTGGGAATCCTTACAAAGCGTCTACGGTAATCTGTCAAACATAAGTCGTATTTTCGAACTCAAGAAACAGCTTTTTCATTTACAGCAACACGATCAACCGTTCAACAAAATTCAAGGGGAATTTTGTGCACTATGGGCTGAACTCGAGGAAATACGACCTACTTCAACTGATCCGAAAATTGTCATGGAGAGAGCACAAGAAGATAAGGTGTTTTCCATTCTTCTTACACTTAATGCCTCTTTCAATCACTTGGTTTATCATCTCCTTCGCCAAATTAAACTTCCTACGTTTGAGGAAGTTTGTATGATGGTGAAACGAGAGGAAGGGGGTCACAATCTCTTCGCAGGTCCACATGAGCTTGCACACTACACACAGAAATCACACTCTGCTCCCTTCCCACGTCGCGATCGTAGAGAATTCTTTTGTGACCATTGCCGAAGAAACGGACACTCAAAGGAGCGTTGCTGGGTTTTGAATCCACATCTGAAACCTCCAAAGTTCAAGGACAACAGTCGAAAAGGAACAGCAATGACGGCTGCCCATGTCCCTTCACCCACCGAGAATGGCATCAGTCTAACTTCTGAAGAAATGAAAGGACTAAAACATCTTCTGCAGTCCTTGCACAAAGATACCGGTAACTTCACCTTTCACTCTGATATAGTTATTGATTCCGGTGCAACGACACATATGTTTAAAGATGCAAATTTGTTTCACACTATATTTAACGGTCATGGTTTTGTTTCGGTTGCCAATGGTAAGAATGTCTCCATTAAAGGGTATGGTACATTTCATCTCTTCGATAAGCAACTCTCGGCCTTATTTGTACCAGATTTTCAGACAAATCTTCTCTCCATCCCTAAATTAATTGATGAAACTCATTGTCGTGTTATTTTCGATACTAACTTTGTTATGTTTCAGGATACTAAGACGGATCGAGTTTTCGCCAAAGGATTTCGGAAAGGAAGCCTTTACTATCTTGATCAATTCTACTCTAGCTACCTATCTATTTCCCCGGATGTGTGGCATGCTCGTTTAGGACATCCACACCAAAGGGTTCTCCAATTGCTTGTCCCCGACGTTAAGCATGTCGATCGACTTTGTGATGCTTGTATTCTTGGAAAACATTGTAGGACTGTTTTTCCGGATTCGACTACTTGTTATGACAATATTTTTGAATTAGTGCATTCGGATGTTTGGACTGCGCCATGTTTTTCTCGTGATCATTTCAAATATTTTGTTACATTTATTGATGAAAAGTCCAAACATACATGGATTACTCTTCTCAAGAAAAAGAGTGACGTGTTTGGAGCATTCAAAAATTTTTGTGCATATGTAGCTAACCAATTCCAGGTGAAAATCAAATGTCTAAGAACAGATAATGGCGGCGAATATACGAGCTACAACTTTCGCGAATACCTTCTTCAGCAAGGGATTGTTCACCAACGTTCATGTCCCCATACACCGCAACAAAATGGTGTTGCCGAACGAAAGAACCGACACTTGATGGAAGTTGCTAGGACTCTTTTGTTTCATCGACACGTCCCGAAGACTTATTGGAGTGATGCGGTGAAAATGGCTTGCTATATCATCAATCGACTTCCGACACAAGTCCTTCATGATAAATCACCTTATGAGGTACTCTTCAACCGTGTTGATACTATTGATCACTTACGAATTTTCGGTTGTGTTTGTTATGTTCATCTAGATGAAGGACAACGGACAAAACTCGATCCCCGAAGTCTCCGGTGTATATTCCTCGGCTACCCTCCGGATCAAAAGGGTTATACGTGTTATCACCCTCCTACACACCGTATCTACACATCTCGGGAAGTTAAGTTCTATGAGGAAATAAGCTATTTTGGAGACAGCCCTTGGGAAAACCTCGAGAATCTTGTAAACCAAGGAACCGATCATAACGAGGCCATGCAAAATCTCCACCATACCTTACAGATCCTTGGAATTCAACAAAAACCTGATCCCAACACTGGCACTTCTTCGCAGACCCAGGATCTCCGCAACGAACATTCTAATGTGCATACTACTCTGGGTGATGGTAACGGTCAGACAACCTCTTCTCTTGACTCTTTTGGTCCTTTAATTTCTAATGATGCAGGTACTTTGGAGATTCACTCAGGGGACATCGAACCTGGGCACCCATGTGAGGTGGACCCTACCACACTTCCCTCCACTGAACATGTGCACACATGTGAACGAGAACCCTCCTCTGTTCCTTCCATTCCGCCGATGCCCATCGTCACTTTCCCTAATATAACGTCAGATTCATGTACCATCACATCAATTGCACCTGTCAACTCCAACCCGACGATTCATCAGATGCCAATGCTCCCACAACCCAGTGATTTGACAGTCGTTCCAGAAGCCGCATCAGATGTCAATCTGCCACTTCGTCGTAGTTCACGAGCAAGAAAACCGACGTGGAAAATTGCAGATACTTCGACCAAAAACAACCTGGCCATTGCTCATCCCATTGAACACTACTCTTCATTATCTGCTTATCCGTCTACTGATCAAGCGTTTTTGAGTAAAATTGAACAGGGACAGGAACCACATAGCTATCATCAAGCGAAAGATATTGCAGTCTGGCAAACCGCAATGCAGGAGGAGCTTGATGCTCTAGAAAGGAATGGCACGTGGGAAATTGTCGACCTCCCACGTGATAAAAACGCCGTAGGAAGCAAGTGGATATATAAAATCAAATACAAAAATAACGGAGAGATTGAACGATATAAGGCTCGTCTAGTGGCGAAGGGATATACCCAGACCTACGGAGAAGACTACACCGACACTTTCGCTCCCGTAGCCAAACTTCCCACTGTACGTGTTTTATTATCCTTAGCTACTAACTTTCAGTGGAATCTTTGGCAGATGGACGTGAAAAACGCATTCTTACAAGGATCTCGAGGAAGAAATCTTTATGACTCCTCCGCCGGGATATGCAAGAGTCACACGACCGGGTCAGGTTTGCAAACTTCAAAAGGCGATATATGGTCTAAAACAATCACCAAGGGCCTGGTATCATCGACTCTTTGTAGCACTCACCGAAAAAGATTTTGCACGAAGTGACTCCGACCATTCTCTCTTTACTCATCAATCCTCTGCTGGTATCATTATTCTTCTTGTTTATGTCGACGATATTATTATTTCTGGAAATAATTTGCAGGGCATTTCGGATACTAAGGCTTACCTCCAATCTGTATTCGACATCAAAGATTTGGGTTCCTTAAAATATTTTCTTGGTATTGAAATCACTCGTACTTCTAACTCTTTGTTTCTCTGCCAAAGGAAATACATTTTGGATCTGCTTCAAGAAACAGGAAAAATTGGAGCTAAACCAGTCAGGACACCGATTGAGGAACACTTCAAGGATCAACGCGAGGGGGAATCACTCACTAATCCAGACCAGTACCGTCGCGTTGTAGGTAAGCTCATATACCTTACAATTACTCGCCCTGACATTAGTTTTGCGGTGCATCAGGTTAGTCAATGGATGCACGCTCCTACAACGAAAAATTGGAATATGGTGGATCGCATTCTCAAGTACCTAAAGGGGACGCCCAACAAAGGAATCTGGATGCACAACAACAAGCACTCAAAGATCGTAGCTTATTGCGATGCAGATTGGGCCGGTGATCGAGCGGACAGAAAGTCAACTACCGGTTATTGCACGTTTATCGGAGGAAACTTAGTCACATGGAAGAGCAAGAAGCAGAATGTAGTGGCTAGATCAAGTGCGGAAGCGGAATACAGGGCCATGGCGAATACCACAAGCGAAGTTATATGGTTGAGACAGTTGCTTGAAGATCTTGGAGTAAAAACTGAAGACCCGACACCTCTTCACTGTGACAACCAAGCTGCTTTGCATATTGCGTCTAACTCGGTGTTTCATGAAAGAACGAAACACATTGAGGTAGACTGTCACTTTGTTCGAGAAAAAATCATGCAGGGACTTATCTCCCCGATGTATACCCGAAGCCAAGATCAACTTGCCGACATCCTGACCAAAGCCACAAGTTCTTTTGTTCTCAACAAATGTCTCTCCAAGATTGGCCTTCTCGAATTTCGCCGGCCAATCTTGAGGGGGAATGTTGAAGACCATGAAGATGAGAGTGCCGAAGATTACTTGGAGACTGCTGAAGAGAAGGCTCAAAGACACCAGCATGAGACGACGTCGTTGCATAGGAACATGGAAACAGACCAACCTTGACGTTAGAAGACATGACACCTAAAGCGCTACTCTGATCAGATTTGGAAAGGAGACAAATCAGCCTCTATAGTTCCGTTGCTGCATATCAATTGGCATGAAGAATAATATCAAGACATTTCCTTATCTGTAGATTTAGGAATATTGAGTCTTTTCCTTCTTTGCTTCTAAACCTGTATATATGAAGAGAGCAATTGTACATTTTTTGAGTAATTGGGAATAAAGTGAAATCAGACCAGATTCACCCCCAAAACACCATCGTAGTTCTTGTCTTCCTCTTCAATCCAGAATACTGAAACCATTGCAGACTCCTTGATTTTGCTTTTCTATAGGATGAACGTTTTACGTTGAACAGTTCTTGGCAATTTTTTTCTAGATTGCAAGAATCTTCTAGTTCCCATGGCACAGGAGAAACCTTTTACATTGAATTAGGTTTTGTCCTTTGGAAAACCGTGTTTCCTAAGATTCTCTAAATTCAGTTACTATATACAAATTAAATTAACACTCCAAATTCCACTAGGCAAAAATCGAGCTTTCTTCTGGAACCTATATAGAGATTTTTATTCCTCTTGTTTAAATATTCTATGGCAAATTAGTGGTTATAAATAAAATAAAGTTTTGCTACTTTAATGGTCTTTCGCAGAAAGAAAAACAAGTTTTGACTATACAAATAAAAACTACATAAGGAAATAGCGATATCCAGACTTAGCCCACCATTGAAGACTGTTTAGAAAAATCAAAGGTCACTTAATTGCAAATGGTCAGCCCATAATCATAAAAAAATATTATAGGAAAAGACCTCAAAATTATAAATATCTTTAACAAAAAAAATATAAAAAAGAAAAGACTTCATGAAGTGTAATAACATTGTTTGCATCGCTATATATATATATATGAACTGAAATTATCGAAAGAACGGAAAACAAAATTTCTTTAAATGACAGAATATTTTTAAGGAAAATACCTGTTGACTACTGACCATGCCGTAAAGTCAAAGACATTTTTTTTCTTCAAAATAGAATAAAATAGAATATGTTGAAAATGGTATTGAAAATATGAACATCTTTGCATGGTTTCGACTTTCGAGGTTTGTTGACTCGAAATGTTATGAACAGAGTTCTCTTGCAGCAAATCCACGAAGGTACATATGCGTGTCATTGCTCGAAGAAACCCCACCTAACCCCTCTTTGATTCCAAGTATATATATATATAAACTAAGAATCTGTTACTTTTCAAACTTTAAAATTTTCACAAAAATATACAAATTTTTGTAATCTTATTTAAAATCACGAATTTTAAAAAAAATAAAACAATATGACGTTTAACACCATGATTCCGATTTTAAATGAATCCTTTACTGGTTCGATCTTATCACTGTGATATTTATACTTGTTTTAGTCTCTTTTTGATACTCGTAATCCGGGACGTTATCAAAAATATTCTCATTTTGCTATTTTGACTTTAAAACATACCTTTTTTTATCCAATTATGACTCTGTAACCTATATGATCCGAAATATAATCTTGATCACATTAGTCATACAATGATCACACTCATTCATTATGTTCATACCTTATATATCTCAAAAAAACATTATAAATTTAACGTTATGATCAATGTCACCAAGATTATATTTCAGGTCACATATATCAAAGAGTCACAGCCGGAGAAAGGTATATCTTGAAGTCAAAATAGGAACGGGAGGATATTTTTGATATAATGCCCGTAACCATCTACTCACTTTTGTCTTGCACAAATCTAACTCCTTTATACATATTTTAGATAATAAAATACAAAATCTTTTACCAAAAAAACATTTTTTACATATAGTTTTTTGAAGTCCTTATAAAATTTTGCGTATTTTTTTAAATTTTTTTATAAAATTCATGATTTTAACTAACATTCGAAAAAATACATTTATTTTCTAAAACTTTAAAATTTATATATCAATCTGTGAATTGTTAACATATTCGTTATTTATTTGAGATTTTCTATATATATATATATTCATGTGATTAATATTAAGTATAATATATAAAAAGTTTTAATCGTTTAATTTAAAAGTTTAAAATATATAAACAAAAAATATGACCAAGTTTGTATCATTCAACAAGTGAAATGGATAATTTTTGTTTGACCCGTCCCAAATTCTAATCCCGATTATTAATTAAAAAATAATATATGATAATATTGGAATAATTATCCATAATATTGTATCTTTTATAGGCTTCTCAATTCCAAAAAGGTGACAATCAACAACCCGATAGCGGAAAAATAAGAAAGGGAAGAAAATCGAATGCTTTAAATGGCCTGAATGGGAAGATTATACCTCGGCGTAGTAATTCATTAAGGATTTGGACGATATCTTCTTCAATTAAATTTGGTAGGAATTTCAATATTTATGACTGATTATTGTCTGTTTATGATTCCACATTGTTGGAGAAAAATTAAATCAGAAAAAAAAATTGTCCTAGGAAACAAAAATCAAAGAGGAAACTTTACACTGTTTCATTTTCCATTTTGGATACAAAGCTGTCCTAAAAAGAATATAAATATTTTATTTGTTCAAATGAACCAAAGTAAACAAATATCTACAAGTTGTGCGTTAAAAGGAGCCATCAAACGTTTAACATTTCATCCCGCCGGTCAATTTCGCCTGGTTCCTTTCGTCGTAATTTTATTTTACTTGAAAATAAATATTTGATAAAATAGAATGAATTTTTTATGTTTTTCATTATAAAATCATACTTTATTAGGAATTTTTTGAAAATAACGTGTTTTAGATGTGATATGACTGTCCACAAACATTTTTTTTAAAACTGAAAACTAAATTCAAAAATAATTTTCTACTAAAATGGAAACAATTTTGTTTTTTTTATTTCATTCGAGAATACATTACATTGAATATTAATGTTTTCATTAAAATTATTCGAAGAGTTTCCATACATCAATATAAATATCAGAAAAAAATAAGCATACAATAAACATGTCTGTGTTATTGACAAAATAAATATATAACCATGTACTTCATAGAAAGACAACACCAAACAGGTAATGTGGTTGTATTCTTAAAATGTGAATGAAAAGAATTTTTGATACGTTCAATAAATCGCAAGTTGCTATTAATAAATCTCAAATTTCATAATCTATATAATCTCTAACTATTGAGAGTCGAGAATCTTCGGAACCAAATGAAAGATCATACATGTGTTCATCGATGATTCTAACAGTTGATATATATTCATTTCAATTTAAAATAAGGTAAAAATCACCTCAATTGGAGAAATTATTTTTAAGAAACAGGCGTCGATGTTCGAAGAACACATACAGCACGTGTTATATAATCAATTAGCAATATATGGAGTTTTGGGAAAACTCTAGGACAAAATTATGTTATACATTCAAATTTATTTGATCACCAATAAGATAATTTTACCTTATAATTTTAAATCGTTCGAATATTTTGTGGATAACAATATATATTTGTTTATACTGTCGTTTCTAAAATATGCGTTTTTTCTTTTTTCTACGACAACTAAGAGAACAAACATTTTCACAACATCAACCGACCCCCGAACCGTGTCGCCTACCGTGTTCCTCACGTAATAACAAATAACGGTGACGTTAGCTTCATGCATGCATCGAATAAACCCGTTAATAATGGTGACGTCAGCTTCATGCATGCATTGAACAGTAATTCAACAAAACCGAGCAAAATATATTATGAGAATGTGAATTAAGGATTTGAAATGGCTCATTTTCCATGTCGTACGCTTAAATATTAAGTATTTGGTTATACCAAAAAAAAATATTAAGTATTTGGTCATAGGAAGACTCGTTCAAAAAGGATGACAATATCTCGTGCATAGACTTTTCCCGATGCATCTCTATCCCCACCCTAAGCCCTATATATATACACACAAATTCTCCTACGTTTAACACAGAAATCACTCAAGAAAAAAAGAAAGGACCAAGACCAAGAAACAAGAAACTCCATAGATGGATCTTTCGCTCGGATCTTTAGCTCCCATATTCATAGCTTCTCTCTTCCTCTTCTCCGTTTTTGCAACTCTGTTCAAGAAACAAAAACATAGAAAAGCTCCTGAACCTACGGGTTCATGGCCCATACTCGGGCACCTTCACCTTTTGGGCGGGAAGAACAACCTTCTCTACCGGACGTTAGGAGCGTTAGCGGACGAATACGGGCCGGCTTTCGGTCTGCAGCTCGGTAGCCAAAAGGCTTTGGTTGTGAGCAGTTGGGATGTGGCTAAAGAGTGTCTCACAGTGAATGACAGGACCTTCGCTTCGCGTCCAAAGACGGTGGGAGCGAAACACATGGGCTACAACTATGCCCTCTTCGGTTTTGCGCCTTACGATTCATACTTCCGAGATATGCGCAAGATCGTAACCTTTGAGCTTCTCTCTAACCAGCGTATTCAGAAGCTTAGCCACGTCCGTATTTCTGAAATCGAGATGGGTAAGGACACTTAACGACATTTAGAAGCATAAGCAATTGTATTTCAAGTATGATTAGACACTAACCACATCGAATGACTTTGATAGGCATCAAAGACATATATAACTTGTGGTCCAAGAAAGGCGGGTCAGGCCCTGTACTCGTTGATGTGAAGCAGTGGTTGGAGGACTTGAACCTCAACATGATTGTGAAATTGGTGGCGGGAAAGCGTTACGCCTTTGGAGATGCTACAGCAGACGAAGCTGACGAGGCAAGGCGATGCCCAAAGGCCACTGCGCGGTTCTTTCAACTGATGGGTCTTTTCGTTCTCTCCGATGCTCTTCCTTTTCTGGGACGGTTTGATCTGCAGGGCCATGAGAAAGAGATGAAGAAGAATGCTGCCGAGATCGATGGAATCCTTGAAGGATGGCTCCAAGAACATGAAAGAAGGAGAGCTTTGGGGGAAACTGATGGTGATTCTGATTTCATTGACGTTATGTTGTCGCAAAAAGAACAAGGGAAGCTGTCCAATCTCAAGCATGATGAAAGAACCGCCATCAAAGCTACTTGCCTGGTATGAATACCTTACTCCCTTTTGATTGCGTTGTGATACAAGATATAAATTTGACGAACGTAAGCTACTTGGAATTGTTTCGGTTATCTGCAACGAGTAACATGTTTTTTCGACCATTTCATTATCAGGCAATGATCCTGGGAGGAAGTGATACTCTTGTAGGAACACTTGTATGGGCCTTCGCTCTGCTGGCAAACAACCGGGAAATACTGAAGAAAGCACGAGAGGAAATAGATTTCCACGTCGGTAAAGACAGAAAAGTCGAGGATTCAGACATCGAAAAACTAGTTTATCTACAAGCAATCACCAAAGAAACACTCAGATTGTACCCGGCAGCTCCTCTCCTAGGCCCACGGGAGGCTACAGAAGACTGCACAGTCGCGGGTTACCATGTTACCGCGGGGACAAGATTAATGGTTAACGTATGGAAGGTCCATAGGGATCCAAAAATTTGGCCAAACCCGGATGAATTCATCCCGGAGAGATTTCTGGAAGGAAAAGCATCGGAGTACAGTGTCAGGGGACAGAGCTACGAGCTCTTACCGTTTGGATCAGGAAGAAGATCATGCCCGGGTATCTCATTGGCCGTGCAAGTGCTCCACTTGTTGCTCGCTCGATTCCTTCACTCGTTCGATATGAGCACTGTCTCGGGCATGGACGTGGATATGGGTGAGAGCCCTGGCTTGACCATTCCTAAAACCAAACCTCTTGAAGTTCTTCTTAGCCCTCGTCTCAAGAAAGAGCTCTACGACTGTTGAGGAGAATTCTTATACATGGAATGTTCACTTGAAAAAAAAAACAATATATTTAGGGTTTGAATAAGGTCGAAGAAGCTGGTCTTCCTCGCTTCTTTAATTTCTTTAGGGCAAATAATAGCTCATTATGATTTGTTTGTTTGTTTCCTTCTCATCGAATTTTATTCCTTCTGTAAAAAAAAAACTATTTGTACAATAGCTATATCTACGAGTGAATAAAAGAACCTCGTTTTTTTTCCCTTTTTTTTTCTTTTTTTTTTTGTTAAACCATTTTTTTTATAACGGTCGGAATCCGCCATATGGCTCTTCGGACCAGACTCCGACCGTACCAACTCTCCAGCCGGATAATTGGTAAACGGACAGTAAATATAATTGAAAATTTAATCTATTTTTATATTATGGCTAACACATATTTTGATTTTCGCCCATGTATCGTCAATCATTTGCTGATTGCACTCTATTTTATTTTATAATTAAGATGGATGTCCCAGTTGAAAACGCTACAAAACACTTTGACAAGTCAAAAGTCAGACACAGTATGACGTCATCCTCAGGTATAGGCCACGCATTGGGGTCCACTAAATCTCAGACTTGGGACGCACCGATTTCGTCGCAATTTCGGCGAAAACATAGCGTTGCATTTTAGGTAAACATGCGCAATGTTTCGTGTCAAGTTTTGAAAAACTCGTAAAGATGATCTGGGTCATTTTAGATTTAACATGGTTCGTGTCAAATTTCAGATGAAAAACGCCAAAGCACACATTGAAGCAACTTGGTTTGGGTTAAGATTGGTACGGTCCGAGTTAGAATTGAAACCGACAGTGTCAAGTCTCTAAGAATATATATATCCGTGAGCTAGAATCAGTTTGATCTCGCATTGGCTCGGGCCGACCTAGGTCTCTATTGTTCTGGCATGATCTGTGTTAGATTTGGTACGGTCCATGTCAGATGTATTATCTCCGTCCACTTGCAAACAACATGTCCAGGTCTCAGACTCATTCCCATGCTCGTCCTTAACGTGTGTTTACACCTCAATACAGTAAACCTGCAAGTTGCAGACTCAAGAAAAGACATGTGAATTAAGGAAACACATGTGTAGAGGTCAAGATGGGACAATATACACTCGAGAATATATCGAAGTTTCAAGATTGTTTTTCTGAAGTGTATGATTATGATGTGTAGATCTTGATCCAATGGAGAGTTTGTTGGAAATTCGAATCAATCTCAAATATGCAGAAGCAAATATGAAGCAAAGAGTAGAAGTTGCGTGAGATGAAGGATCAGTTTATTGCTCATAATATAGTTAATATTGGTTAATTTAAGATAAACTTTTGTGGTTTTTTCTTAACTTCTCCTTGTCTGTTACTTTAAGTTTATTGCACATTTACTTCTAATTTTGTATAAAAATAAACAAATTTTGAATTTTTCATGTAAATCTATAACAATACTAATTTCAATTAGTTTTTTGTATGATTGTATATAAAAAAATTCAAAGTTTATGTATTTTTATACAAATTTGTGTGGATTTATATTAAAAAAATTACAAAGTTTGTGTTTTTATACAATAGTAAAAGTTCATTTATTTATTTGCCAAAATTAAAAAGTTCATATTTTTGTTTGTATATTTGTGTATTTGTTAGTATATTTATGTAGTTGTAAGTATATATTGGAGAATATTATATGGAATCTAAGAGAAATTTGTGAGTTTTAACATTTCTGATATCAATAAAACGAATACCTTATTACTTTAATAAACTCCTTTATTTATTTTTATTGAAACTCACGCAAGCCAAAATATGAGAGAAATCACAGCATGCAACAAAAACCAAACCAAAGTTCAAATGACCAAATAAGTCTTGCAATAAGTTTGAACCAAAAGAAACACAAGTCATAGGTCAATGAATAGCTACAAAACACAAAAAAATATACTATTCTCTGTTCACTCTTCTTCTTCATCTGGATCTCCCATCGTTGTACTTGGTCCTGCTTCAATCACTCTCCCACGTGTTGGAGAAGAGACTCTCACACACTCTTGGATAGCTTTGGACGACTTTCTACAACATATGGATAATGGTGGACAAAGTGTGACATCTCAGTTATGATTCGAGGGTGGGAAGTGATTGTCGGTATAAAGGACACAAACGAGAAGAGGCTCTCCGGAGACCACTAGACAAGAGGGATATGGAGATGAATTGAACGCACCACAATGCACTACAAAAAAAAATGATCATTTCCAACGGGTAAATCCGTTGGAAATGGCCAAATTTCCGTTGGAAATTAACGTTTCCAACGGATTTCCAACGGATTTATCCGTTGAAATTTCGTCGTTAGAAATCGGTATCCGTTGGAAAACCGTTGGAATTTTCAACGGAATTTCAACGAATTTTTCCGTTGGAATTTTCCAACGGATTTCCAACCGGCATCCGTTGGAATTTTCCAACGGATTTTCAACCGCAATCCGTTGGAATTTTCCAACGGAATTTCCAACCGATATCCGTTGGAATTTTCCAACGCAATTTTCAACCGCATTCCGTTCGAATTTTCCAACGAAAAATTCGAAACATATTCCCGACCCGACCCGATCCCGACACCGACACCGACCCCGACCCACCGACCCCGACCCCGACCCGACCCCGACACCGACACCGACCCCCAACCCGCCCCGACCAAACCACGATCCCGAAACTCACTTCCCACTAGGTCACCCATTCTTCCACTACTCCAGCTCAATTCTCCTTAACCCTAGAGTTCCAATTAGAACTCTTCCAACTCCTCCAAGTTAAACTTCTGATATCATATAACATTAATATATATACATATATAAATATTTATACATATTTACATATTTACATATATATATTCAAATTCATATATATATATATATATTTGTTATGTATATGTATATGGTTAATATATATATATATACTTATTCGTATACATATATGTGTATATACACACACATCATATTTGTATAGATAAAAATATATAAACACAAAATATATCTATATTTATACATATATAGATGTATAAATATATAAAATATTTGTTT